AGTAACTTTTTTCAAAACTTTTGGATCAAATTTAATATATATTACAAGGAGTAACTTTTAGTTCAAGTTGATTGGGAGCTTTATACGTGTACCTGCATGCTAAAATTGAGCTCAAATCAAGCAAGTAACAAAATTTGGGATTAGACTAAACCTTGCTTAGATCGTTCGGCTTTCAGCTATGAAATTATAATTTTGATGCGATTTAATCACTTAATTTCTTATAATATCCGACAGTAAGTCGGAGAACTTAAATAATCATCAGAATTTGCTTACAATGACTAAAACAGCCTGAATAAGTGAAATAAACGCATTTTCTGCTCGCAAATTAGTTTGAAGCCAGAGCTAACGAAGTGTCACCCTACCCCAAGTCATTTGAAAATTTCTACTCACAACACAAAGCTGCTTCCTAAGACTAAAGTACAAGCGAATAGAGAGATGATGAAAACAGATACCAATTATTAACTAAACTAGATATCAAAGCCACGTGTCTAAGCGGTTTTAATTTTTCAAAGCGCGTTGATAATACTTATGGCTCTGAGTACAATGGGGCTTACTTTATGATAGAAGCCGCGCTTTCTTGTATTTCTTTACGCTCTCAACATGCGAGTTCATTTTAGCTTACTTTATGCCAGTGCTGCCACTCGAAGCGAACCACCAACATCAATGGGGTCTTCCAGCGATTCCTTTGTATTACAGTTAAGCGTCAATTATTGTCATGAGCAGACGTTATCTTGAAAGGAAAATAATAAAGCGCTGGCGGTGGGTCAGCTAAAATGTAGGCAAAGTACTTCATCGAAAATATAAGAATGAAAGAAAATAAATAAGATGTCGGATAAAGAGCCAGAAGCATAGCGCTAAGTACACGGCGTGGAATGGAGGAAACAACATAGAACAAGAACAAAATTACTATGAATATTATAAAAATTATAAATGCGAAGTCAGCAGCGATGGCTGCTATGTATCCTAGTTGTGCGGTTGTGTTATGACATTATGGAAAAACCTAAACATCCATAAACATTATTAACCCTTAAGTAACGAATAAAAGATTGTCAGCAATAAACGAAACACTTTCATATTATAAAATTTAAGACATTTGCACTCTAAATTAGCTAAGTCGGGCTTCTTCTCATGCGTGATACTTTAAAAGCGGTCGGAAGTGAGTACGTATGAAGGATTACTCTATTAGTAAAAGTATTATTCGGATATCATATAACCTCACCTCAGCTGCGACACGAGAGTTAAGCTTTACCTTTCCAACCGTACTTGAAGCGGAAATTTATGCAAAGTTTATCTATTTGAACAAGTTAAATTCGCGGAAAGCAAACAAAATATTTGCAGCTGAGATGGCCGCAGGTGATTACTCAACTGCCACATACAAAAACCGCCTCAACCTAAAAAGTAAATAGATATCCGAGTTAAAATATAGATAAAAGTAATGCAAATGGTGAAAATGCGAGGCTTAAAGCAACGAACGTGAATTGCGGTGGATGGAGAATAATTGTAAAAAAAATATGCGCTTATGGCTTCGGCGCTGGAGGTGGCTTTGGTCTACATCGGTAAGGCATTTGACAAGGACGGGTGACGCAGCGCTTTATCGTTGCAGGTGATGGTGATGTGGTGGTGGAGTGTTGCGAACCCCAGTAATTAGTATGAAAAATATTTTATATAATGGCGCATTAACGGCGCAATATTGAAATTATAAGTACGACTATGTATGTATGTGTATGGTATATCGCTCACAAAATCAACCCCAAAAGCGGCAGACACCCACTGCAGACACCAAACATGTCAGCTAAAAGTCAGGTAGCGCAGCTTAGAGGATTAATAAGTCAGGTGTGTGCCTTCAACAAAATACTAACCCCAACCATTACTAGATAGATATAAACAAGGCTCATAAATATGTATTTTTGATTCGTGAGGAGCCAATGAATTCATTTACTCTTTTTGCTCTGCTTATTTGGTTGCTACTTTCGCTTTTTTGAACGTGCCCCTATCATGATTTTATCGTCAGCGCAGACAGATGTTTATCAACGTTAAAGCCACCTCTACGCTAGTATTTTACTCTTTGTAGACGAGTACATTAAGCTGTATTCGAAGGCAAAAAAATTCAAATTCGACCCACTTCACCTTCATCGACTACAGCGAAGTCGCGAATTTGGGTCATTGCTGTCGCTATTGTGGCTGTGCAAGCAGCTTTAAGATGTTCTTCTTTCTATCTCTCTCTCTTACTTTCTCTCTCTCTGGCTCACGCTAGCTTCGTTGTTCATCCTTTTCCGTAATTTTTTATTTCATTTGTTTTTTTTTATTTCGGAGACAGATTAAAAACGACGAGCGCGAAATACATAAATGAAGGGGGTTAAAAGAAAAATTATATCGGCGTAATGAAAAGTGGTAATTATGCGCACTTCAATTACATAGGCGAGACCAAGAGTCGAGAGGTATGTACTTAGTCGCCTCATTTTTCTTTGTTAATTTATTTGCTTGAATAGCTCATTAAAATTAAAAAAATATGCCGCGTGTTCTCGACGAAGAATTAAATTCAGTTCTTTAAAAATTGAATGTGCAACACTTTTTGATGTTATTTTATAGATATGCTATAGTACTGAGTTATAGTAGCTATGAATATGTTAACATTTGAGCATAAACTGTTCTCATAACCGTTTATCTATACAGCATGTTACGTGAGAAAATAGAGAGAGATTATGAAAGCTCTGAAAAGTCAGTAATTTTTTTTTAAGATTTGTGAAAGATGCGAACTAATGGACTCTAAGCGAGCAGCAGTCTATTTAATCACACTATTCGCTGAGGAAGCTCTTTTGAGATCCGACCGTCAAACTCGCAGTCATAGTAACTGTGAAAGCACAGATCTTCATATATAGGATTCTCTGAGCTTTTTTGAACTCTTAATTTGTGGTGACATATTTTAATTATAAGCATGGTTCTGTGAGTGATCTGTCGAAAACACCTACAAATATATCCCAACAACTACCAAAGACTTATCCATAATAATATAGACGATTTTTCTAAAAATTAATAGACGAAGTGAGTTTAGTCTTGATTCAAGGGTATACCTTTCATGGCCAGCATTAGCAAGCTAACCCACATTTGATTAGTCGTTACCATAATAATATTAGGAATGACTGAGTTATATTCCTTAAGAAGGAAGTAAATATAGTCCTCAGTCTATTGAACAGAGAAACTTAACGTTGTAGTTCCTCCCCAAAAAAGATTCCGATGGTGTATCGTGTGCGTATATGTTACTCGCTAATTCTCCCCTCACACTTTTTCATATTATACGTTTACCAAGCAAAATACTTACATATAATGTATTGTGATTATGATAATATATACTTGAGAGCTTACACTATTTTAGGGAATGCAGTTTTTCATTGCTCAAAAGCTATCAAAGGTCTTAAAAATTAGATATAATTATTCATTAATTGGGAAAACGACTTTTCGACTTTTTTTGGGTAATTTTTTCAATTCTTAACATATATAATATTTTCTAGAAAAGCTCCTAAGAAACCTAAAATCGCCATTTTGTATTAAAATTCAGGAAAAAAGTAAAGATTTATAGTTAAACAGATGCTAACAAGACAGGGCTGGTATTGTTCATTAGGAAACACAGAGTTTCAGAAGTTAGGCGGCTCTTAATAAATGGTACTAGGCTGGCTAGAAGCTTTCATGGAAACCAAACTTAGACGCTAGAGTAAAGAAAGCACTTTACACCTGTAAAAGGATGGTGGGGCCCAAATGAGGACTACTCCAAACTAGATAATATAGTGGGGGCCCGTGTCTTTTCAGAAAAATTAAATTACAGAATCGCCTTTCGAAGCGTAGATTACAGCAATTAAAGAAAGCCTTCTTGTTCTGACAAAAGGTGTATTCACAACAAGAAAGATATTTATACACATATACCATAGCCAAGCGCCTTTGAAATCACTAATGTCTCTAAGGGTTTCATTTCATGAAAGTTAAAAAATGCTTTGATCTCATAATGGATCTAACATTTTATTTAAAATAAACGTACAGCGGGTTCCTGGACATAATGATATTCCTGGTAACTGTCAAACAGATGAATTAGCCAGAGCCGGCAAAACCTTATAATTAGAGAAGAAAGGGAAATATATGTCTTTGGCAACTTGTAGATAATTAATCGGCAAACATGTTGTAGATATAGCTGAGTGGCATGAATGGAATAGGGGCCGCATATGGCGACCATTCAAATTCAAAAGGAACGACATAAGAACTCTAATAGGAGTGCTAACAGGTTACTGTCTAATTGACAGAGATGCCAGCAGACTGGGAACACCATACAATAACTATTGTAGAAGCTGTCAAGAGGTAGAAGTAGAAGAGTAAGGCTTTGTATCGCACCCTGCGATTGAGGGTTTGTTGATGTGTCTCGGAGGTTGCGCAAATAAAACTGTTTGTACATAGGCCTCCTAAAGGCCTAGATGCGTCGTCACACATCCACTCTACTTACTTATCTACCTAGTTAAACAGATAATAAACTTTCCTAAACATAATAAATATTATTCTTTCGATCTAGAAAATTGGATAATTTTTACACACAGCTGCAAGCCTATATTAAAACTCTAGTGATAATTTTACTGGTTAATTTATTTTGCTGGTGCCACTAGTATCATACTTTGCTTGATATAGAGCATTTTTCGAACATAAAATGTCAATGAATGTGGCTACTAACTTTCGCTTGTCTATCTAATGACCAAATTACAAAGCAATAAATTAAAACAAAATATATTATACACGAGTATCATCAAACTATATTTCACGCATTCATTCAATAACTTTAGATCTAACTTAAGTGAAACTCCATGCGCAAGTTCGTAAGCTTAAGTGATCGCGATTAAGATAAGAGCATAAACAAGATGCGATAAGAAGTGACTTATTACAGCGATTAAGGATTTATATATTGGAATAGAGAAAACCTGATTTCTTTGCAATATGAAGCAGCTGTTGATTTGGATCAAAGTACAAAATGTCAGAAGCATATAAAAGTCTGAAGGCTGAAGCCAACAGTACAGTTTTATCGTATTGTTCGACAAAAAGTGGTACTAATTGAAAATGATTTCTTACAAAAAACAAACACTTTTTTGTATTCTACTGCTCTTAAGCACTTTAGCAGTGGATGGACGAAGACTTGGTAATATTTTGTGAATACTTAAGAATAAAATTATTATTGAAAAACTTACTCAGAGCATCGCGGTTACCAGCAGCGTCACAGCCATAGACACCGCACACCTTTATTGCGGCAAGTGGATACGGGAACGATTACTGGCACAGCGGAGGATGACGATAGTGGCACTGGTACCGGCACCGGTATGGATACCGTCACTGGCACGGAAGCTGAAGTCGATGAAGAACCAAATCCTGAGTTGAATACAAAATCTTCTGAAGCACTGATTGTTCTTAAACCAGCACAAACCGGTGATAGTTCGCGCTTCTTTAGAGGCCTATTTTTGCAAGGGCTCTTCGGCGGCGCCGGTGGTCTCGCTGGTCTTGCTGGTGGCGGTGGAAGTAATGGTAGTGGTAATTCTAATATTCCCTACATAATTGTCAATGTGCCCAGCAATATTACAAATGTCAATCAGAACAACTTGAATAACACAGGAGGGGGCACAACCACAACTACACCCGCACCGGGCTCTCGCCGTCAAGTGATCTATCAATCCATTCCCTTTCCGGATACCACACAAGTATATGAGCAACGCCGCACGACCAGACCAGAAAATCAAGCAAATGCACAAAATTTCATACTCAGTCCAAGTAATCAGTTGGTTCCGGTGTACCTGCCGCCTGAAGTGCAAGCTCTAATGCAGAGTAGTGTTTTTCCCAACGCCGTTGAGCAACCAAAACGTAAACAGTTAAAGAAAAATAATAACAAACATCAAAACAATATAAATCTATTCTCCGCTTTTGCCAATAATTTTAGACGCACACAATTTTTGTAATTTTTGAGAGTTCAATAAAATAAAAGTAAATATTGCTCGATAGCTCAAAATTATGATTTTTGGTTATTTGTTTCGGACAAAAGCACTATTAGAAACCATATGGCTATTACAGTCGAAAGTTCCAAAGCCACTTACTGAGCCAGTTCGAGTAAAAAGTTAGCACGTTGTGGTGTGTAAAGTCTTAAAATAAAATTCTAAACCCGGATAGAAAAATTAATCGATGTCGAATACCTTCATCAAACAAGGCAAAATTCACTAACGACACTGAAGGCTATGCCAGCCGAGATTTATAACATATTTAAGGAAAATGAATTATGCGTTGGAATGTTGTATCGGTTCAAAAGAAGCCTATTTTGGCGATAATAAGTATTTGTCTTAAAATACGTTCGGGTCAAATTCGATAAGCTGGTATTTGCATAGGCAATGCTAGCTGTATAGCCAGAGAGGGATGTATGGAATAGATGTGTTAGCTTTCGTTCAAGAAGTATTTGTTTTCATTTTGAGGGAGTTTACCACTAATTTAGAATGGTTTCCAGACCAGCAGTTGGTCTAATGCTCATTTAAAGATTTACCTTGAGCTCACTGACTAATTATTATTTACATCCGGCTACCTCGTGATAAGATATTTTGGAATTGCCGTGTACTGCAAAACTTAACAGGCCACAAAGAAAAACAATCTTGTTTCAGTGTCGTTAAACTGGGAACGAGTAGAAGTAATGTTTACGCCTTGCAGTTCACTTCTGTATCTCGCCTGAGTTTTTTAGGGCTGAAAAGAAGTAAAGTAAGTATTTACCTTCTGAAACGTCCATATTTATGCAGTTATAGGGATTCTAAAAGGTACAAACAGGCAATGAATTAGGGTTGAAAGTCTTGCCGTATGCTAATTTTCGAGGTCTTTTATAGGGGCACTTCGCACTCGACAGATCCGCTCTTACGCGACTAAGCCTGAAATACCTTGAATGCCATATTTTTGAATATATAAGTGCATTGCGAAATCAATCACCGTAGCAGAATTACGTTAGACTCATTAAATTTGCCGACATATAAAGACTTAAATATAACTTCAGTGGTCTTAGCATCAGAAAATCAGAAGCTACTTGTCTATAGCTATCCAAATGTAATCTCCGTCCTAATACTTAAGATAACCAAACACTTCCTTTAGCGCTGAACAAATTGAAATATAACTTTGTAGCAAAATTAAGAATTTAAACCAATAATCACAAATTGATTTAAATACTATTGTTTTTGGCCAAAAAGTATAGTGAAGAAAAATTCTCAGTTTGGAACTTTGTGCTCTTCTTTGTTAGAACTTAAATCTACTTTATAACCCACACCCGCCGCACATAAACATTTAGTTGCCTTCGCAGTATTTCACCTGCCACAATCTCGCTTCTAAAGAGTTTTACGATAATATCGTTTTGTAAGAATAAAACTTTCTGCCCAATCTTTAACTTTGTGCACATTTATTTGTAAGAATTTCAAACACATACACACATACCTGCACACATGGCCTTTAAGTTTGTATCGGATCCACCGCTGTATTTGTAGGAGTACTACTGGCAGCTCAAATACTCGCACTGTTGCATTGGCACTGTTGCAACAATTGTTTATGCAACCCTGCCATATTCTATTTGCGGTCGTTTTCGTGCTCCTTACGCCGAAATCTGCTGCGATAAAAAGTTGCATGCAACAAACCAAAATCGCAACAAAGTTTATGCAAGTGTTTATTTTTACTTCTCTCAATTCTTATTTTCCTTCTTCGCTCGCAACAAACTTTACCAAGCTGCCGGCGTTTGGCTGGGTCGCCGAATGATTTTATGAATATGCAAATAAATTTCAATTGAAATGCCAAAATGTAAATGAAAAGGCAGTCAAAAATTTATTTCACTCAAACGGGTGGGAGCGTGCGCTGGAGTGCGTTGAGAGTCTAGCGTGGAGCGTGTGACTCCGCTACGAATTAGTGTGAGTAGCTGCAGCAGTTGGATAGACAGCAAGAGTTCGGCCGCCCACCCACAAATATATAGACATACATACACACACACGGCCATACATAACTGTAAGAAAGTCAGAAGTTTGGCAGCCGGTAAAACGGTAGTTAAAAGTACTTGCACTTTATGCACCGGAAACTGATAAAATATTGCAAGGCGGAACTGGTGAAGTTACTTTGGCATATTTTGCGAGAGAATAATGTTGAATGAAATCATGATGGAACTGTTTAAATTGCTTCCTATTTAAGAGTATTTCAAATTCAAAAAATTGATAAGCAATGGAAACAAAAGCTGTTGTCAAGAGCCAGACTATTTAAGAACCTGTAAAAATTACATTCGTGAATCGATCCTTAACTATTTTAAAACTCAGAACTAAATGACTTTTTGTAATTTTTTTACAATTAACAGAGTTTGGGAGAGTAGAAGACATTATGTTCAAGGCAGCTTCCGGCATCTGTCATCCAACCACTTTCGTATACGTACAAAGTAAGGTAGGGCTCCCTAACTAGATTGAATCTAAGTTACCCAAATCGAAGCTTGCAATCTCGAGGAAACGTTCAGACAGTGCACACATAAAATGAAATTTCTGGGCTCAAAATCATAGAAACAGGTGGTGCTGCAAATTAAAACTTCGTATTACCGACATCACTAAATGAATCTCATATTAATAACATTATAACGAATATTCAGACCGAAAATCTGTGCAGAAGTCGAAATATCTCTCAAACCCTGTTTACCATATGTTTATAAAATTGTAATATTTCAATAAGTCAAATAAATTGACAACATTATAACTTCCCTGACCAGTGTTTTCAGTGTTTACAGAATTTTTATACTATTGCAACATGTTGCTACAGACCATAAGTATAATAGTTGTGTTCACCTAACGGTTGTTTGTATCACCTAAAACTAATCGAGTTAGATACAGGGTTATATATATATAAATGATCAGGATGACGACGTGAGTTGAAATTCCGATGTCTGGCTGTCCGTGCAAACGATAACTTGGTTAAAAATTGAGATATATTTATGAAGCTTGATACATACAATGTTCCTTTGTAATCGGACCACTATCACGTCCACAAAACGCCAATAAACAAAACCCTATAAAGTACCAGTAGTAAGCATAAGCAGTAAATTATGATTTAAAACTGTAATTTGTACAATGAATCGCATTAATTAGAGACATCTCTGTAACGCCAAAGACCGTGGAACCGTTCTGCAACCACGCCTTCTTTACGTTAACACAACTTTAATTTCCATCACATTATTTCACTTTGCAGTATAAAATAAAGCACCAATGAATACATAGAGATAAAACTTTGCACCAATAGTGCCTTTAAGGTATGCCATCTCAAATCAAAATATTACCAAATCGGACAATAATTTTTCAAGCCCCCAGATATCGAAGCTGTGGACCCCAGTGCCTATAGCAAATTTTTTTCCGAAAATATGGGTCAATATGTGAGGTATAAAATTGAAATTCGGGGAGAATCTTTTCCTGTTAATAGTATATTAGTGTGTCAAAAATGAGAATAATGGAAATAATTCGAACTTTATGCCGCATATATTGGCCAATATGTGAGTCATCTTAATTATATTGATCGGCACGTTTTTTTCTAACGGTGTATCGCTGCCGCTAAAATGGATAAATATAATATGACTAATATCAGGATTTTCAGCTGATTTCACTCTATATATGTACATATGTATATGTGTAGGTGATGGTATGTGAGGTACCTTAATGAACCTAAGAGAGCATCTTTTTCTGTTAATAATATGTAGTTATGCCAAAATTAGATAAAATCGGGTCAATAAAGAGTACCCTTACCTCTCATATATCAAGTATACAGTTTTCAAACTTTCGGTTGGCTTTATACCGTGAATATGCCGAAGAAGTAAGTCAGTTTGTGAGTTATTGTATTTCTTTATAAATTTCTTGAAAATTTGTCTTCGTGTATACCTGAGCAGTGGCAAGGGTAAGTGCATAAAACCCAGACATTTTTCCGCCCTCTACATACCCTGTCTCACTTGAAGCTGATTTTAATATAATTTTAGATGACGTGAAATAAAATAAAGCAATAAAACTAAGTTAGTCTATGAGCTATAATTTAGCTTAATAAAACAGCAATTTTGATGGTAATGCATTCACGATTTCGTCGAATAATGAATGCTGAATTTTTTCGCAAGATTTTTATAATACATATTGTATAATAGTTTTGTTCACCTAACGGTTACTTGTACCACCTCAAACTAATCGAAATAGATATCGAGGTATATACACATAAACCTTTTTCACAAATGTCTTAATATTGAAATAGGGACTTTTTCGATTTTCGTATCAAATTTGCCAACATTTTAAAATATAAGGGCTTTTTTCTTGACTGTATGTTTCTAACCACCCAAGGAGGGTCAGTATTGTAGATGAGCATATCGGACCACTGCCACGTCAACGAAACACTATTAAACGAAAACTGTTAAAGTGTCATAACTAATTACTTGCTTAAGATATAAAATTGTAATTTATTACTGAGGGGGACTTGTGGGCTAAAATTCATAAAGTGGGCGTGGTCCTTCCCACTTAAAACCACTGAAGCTAACTCAACCAAACTTACTTGGAAGAAGTTTTTTAGCATTTCTTCATATGAAAATGGGTAAAATCAGATAATAACCACGCCCATTGCTCATGTAATCGTTATGTTGAAAATTACCAAAAGTGCGATAACTCACTGAATAAAAGAGCCACGTTCATTGAATTGCACAACTAGGATGGTGGGGAAGGGTTTTATGGAAGTCGGTGTAAATATTTTACAATGGGCGTGGCACCGACCACTTTTAGGTTTAATCCTATATCTCAGGAACTGCTATACCAATCAGTATTAATTCCAAAAGCTTACCAGTATACATGTTTGATAGACTTGGCTTATTACTCACTGGCTGTTCTTGCTTGGTCTAAGACATCAAAAGCGTACTCGAGAATATTCAGGACTTTTTCACCCGAGTAATCACCTTTCTGTTTGCCATAGTTGCAAATATTTAGTAACTGTTTGTTTTTTGTAGTATATTATAATATTTAAGTATTAAAATAAAGCACAGTTCTAAGTTATTTTTAAATAATTGACGTTCACACCTTTGGAAAACCTGACACAAAAGTCAAATACTTTAAATTACAATAAAAAAGTACTACTTTCTGATTTAATTTATATTTAAATAAAATTTCTGAGTAATTGCTTGTATGGCAGATATATGTTATAGTTGTCTGATTTTCTTTATTTTAACTGTTGTTAAGTATGTATTAGAAGACAATTCTTCAAAATTACGTCCTCTTAGCTTTTTAGTTAAAGGCTGGATACCGGAAATTAAAAGATCTGAATAATCGGTTGCATGGGAGATATATGTTATCGTTGTCCGATCTGGCCGATTCCGACAAATGATCAATAAAATATCAAAGTGCACCTAAGTATTAAATTTCATTCGGATATCTCAAAAACTGACGAACACATTTTTATAATCCCCAAAAAATTAACTCCGCCTTAAAAATCGGAAGCTCGAAACCCTTTTGACCCATATTCTTTAAGACAAAGTTGTTTAGAATGATCCGTAGAATATTTCCCTCACCTGATCCCTGTAAAGCAACCCACTCTAATGTACAAATACACAAGTCAAAGTATTAAATATTATGAAAAGAATTGGTTTAGTAATGCTTATTTATTGGAACATTTATTGCTCTGTTGCCGTAAGTGTTCTCCTGCTCTCAGAATAGGCGAATAATCCAGATGTCAAATAATGACCCTAATTTGACGAGCCCGAAAACCGACCCAAACTTTGATTCTAATATACTATGGAATAAATATTGGGCATATGAGTATTATACTTTTTAGATACTGAATGAATATAGAATTGTAAGAAAAGTGTTAGAAAATGAATTTATCGTTTCAATATGATAATGACAGCAAGCAAGCATATAATTTGATGTTGAATCGAACACGCACACGGTTGGTGCGCGTGACATTTCGAACGCGCAAATGCAATACGCTCACCCCCCATCACTAACTTAACTCAGTTAACACCGTCGCTCAGCCGAGAAATATCAATCAAGCAACAACAGAGGCACAGAAATAGCAACGAGGGCAGATATTGGTACAATTGTGCTAGAAACATCAGTGATGGTTACGAACAATTGGCAACTGCGGATGCCGTAGGTTATTCCTGAAATGCTGCAGACGTGAGTTCGTGTCAAATTTATTGCCAACGCCAACACCAAACTGATCAACCTCGTTGACGATGACCGCGCTATCACCGGAATTGCCCTTTCTATTCACGTTACGAATTTGATTAGGAATTTTAACCACCTTTCCACGTTTAAGCCTCTGCTGCAGTGGCTTACCGCCAGCTCCTTGCACCTGTAAGCGTCGTCTTTTGTTGTAATTATGGACTGGCTTGTTCCTCTCGCCTTTTGGCGCCAATGCAATAAGTTGTTGTGCTTGTACGCGACGTCTGCGTACGTTTGGATTCAATCGTCCACGATTGTTGCGCCTTCGTCGCCCTACTGGACGTGGGAATTGTCCAATCATTGAAATTTGATTAGTCATACCCGGTTTTCTGCCCATAAACAAAGGTATGCCTGCATTGGCAGTCAATTGCGGTGCATTAGTCATTGTGGGCGCTGCTGACTCAACGACGGGCGTTTCCAACCTCACACCGCCTTCGTGCGCACCGTTATCCTGGCGTGCGTAGACTACGGTTGTGAATTGGCCACGCGTCGAATTCGTCGTCGTCGTGGAAGTTGGCGTTGGATAAGTGGGCGTCGAATAAGTGTATGTTGGTGATGTTGTGGTTGATGTGGTT